CTCATTATATGAATCTTGTCGTTGGCAATATCAACTTAATATTGTGGGGGTAACCACAAATACTTTATTAGTTTATATTCACACATTTCAACTTAAAAATATAAAATTATAACAATTATTTAAAAGAAAAAACACGCATGTTATATGCGAGTTTTTTGCGCATTCATCTTGTGATGATACAGCGTTCCGAATGAATAGTAGATTTAAAAAAATAAATATAGCTATTCAATAGTGCTTAAATTTAAGTTTGCTTGAATAAATAATTTTATTTACTATGCTTCCTTTAATATTTTAATTATTTATTTAGATATAGTATCCAAAAAAATTACAAATTGTGAATAAGTTCACAGTTTGCGCGTCATTACTCCAATATTGAAAATAGTTCGTTTGATAGGAATCCACATGTATCCATTTTGGTTGTGTAACACACACCGCGTGTTATGATAATGTTGTGTTGTGTTGGGTTGGGTTGGGTTGTGTTTTGTGGCGTGGTAGACCTCAAACAGCGGCAAAAGCAAAACAGTAGGCAAACAGTAGCAATGCAAGCAGTGTTAGGTTACTTACAGCATCCGTCCACGATGTTGCTTGTATCATTTTTGAATAAATCTATACATATAAATAAAATTGGAGTGTCTGTTTGTACCTAATATTGAAATAACAGTTTTTTACTACATGCATATGAATATAAATTGACACCTAACACATACATACATGAAAATAACATTTTTTACAACTTTTGTCTGCCTGCCTGTCCGTCTGTTTGTTCCGGCTAATCTGTAAATGGCTGGACCAATTTTGACGGGACTTTTTTTGGCAGGTAGCCAATGTAATAAGGAGTAACTTAGGCTACTTTTATTTTAGTAATTAAAACTAAATTCCACGCGGACAAAGTCGCGGGCGCAGATAATAATATATTTGAAATGATGCTTACAGAGTTTTTGGTTATAGATAAATTCTGAACAAAGTTTTCACCGTGGTTTCTTCTTACTCTTCTTCCGCGCCAGCTTTGTGAGATTTATTTATCCATTGCATTCCATAATGTTACAGTAATTGTTTGGTTTACATTTCGTAGATCTATTATGGGCCCTATTCGGTACAGCAAGCAGAAGAGAAGAGAGGAAGATGAGTTCATTGTTTGTACCTACTGTAAAACCAAAATTAATGTCTCATTATCATCACATTATCTGTTAACTATCTGACTCGATTAGCTTCATTTTTGCAGTTTCTGCAACATTTTTTAATTGCAGCTCCGCACGCATAGGTCGTGCCGTATATGTTATATAGACTATAGTTTTCCATAATAAATTATATATACACTGTCCAATACTAAAAGAATTTTCAAAATCGAATCAATAGGACTGGCCCTTACCCCGAACATCGAAACTCACAAATTTATATTCTTTATTATATTGTCTTTTGTAGGAATATCCATGAATCTTGGTCATCAAAAGAAATAGAAATAGAATAAATAAACTTAATATAATTACTTTTTATAATCATATTATTTTATTTTGCCACTTGTAATACTATGTTATTGTAGTGCTGTATATGTTAAATAAATGTATTTCTTTAACATTTATTTATAAGAGCAATACGCAAGTTTCTTGATTATTTTTCTTGTGGTGACTCTGTTCCTAATGAAAGTTCCTAAGTAAAAAAATATGACTATACAAAAGCACTTTCTTTATTTCAATAAATTTATTTCTTTGAATAATATTCGTATAATAGTGTCGACACGTTCAAAGTATAAGTAACACCTTGCAGTCACGTTCCCACGACAAGGTTTAGTAAAGCAGTGCACCTACTCACAAACTTATACTGCGGAATAATTTGATTGAATATCTGACACTTCCAACGAATTCAAAGAAACCCTTCTCGATGCAGCACGCCGCTTTGTCAATGTTAATTCGCTTTGCAAAATGTCAAGTGTGGACGTCCAGTTTTGTTCAATATGTTTTTTTCTTTATGCCATTTTTTTTGTGCAAAATATTTTCCATTGTCATATTTCTGTGTAACAATGTCGATTGGCACATTTAATTTGAGTTAACAACTAAATCAATACACATACAATATTGGAACTACTAAGACCGTTATGGTCCAGTGGTTGACTACAGAAACTTACACCAAATAGGTCCTGAGTTCGACTGTGGCTGACATCAAAATAAACTTTATGTTTACTAAACGCATACAAACCTATATACGATAGGTATATAAAAAACAATTTAAAAAAGTATATCTTTGTGTATCTGTTTGTTTTGCTAATCTCCGAAACAGATTTTGACGAAACTTCACTTGCTATGTAGCTAATGTTATAAGAAGTAACTTAGCTCAATTTTACTTATTTTAATTCCACACGAACGCTGACGGGGGTTACAGTTAGTAGTCGAATATAAATATTATTATTATTATTAAATTTAGTTCAGTACGACATCTGTTGTCAAGTAGATACAACACTTTAAGCAAATTCTTGAATTTGTTCACCTATTCAACAATAGATGGCGCTGTAATTTAACAGCGCCATCTGTTGTAAACTGTGTTTATTAATTAATACATAGTTAAAATACAGTTCAATTAAAAATATATAGATGGCGCTGAAATTGAAATTTTCCATAAGTATTTGCAAATAACCAATCGTGTACTAAAGACATTAATTCGACTGCCTCATTGGATTCAAAGTTAGATTTTAACAAGTTTTGCATGAATATTTATTTATTAAATGTTTTAATATGCCTCATTAAACTTTATGGGTTTTATCAATAATATTCTGAGATTTTAAGAATAAATGTTAAACAAATTTGACAACGAATAATACTAGTATAGGTATAGAAATTACAGTTTTTCTGATTTTCATGGCATCTAGGGAAATTGCCATAGCACCATATTTCTAATATGCGGTTCGATTCCGTGTATGATACAAATAGGTATTTTTTTTATTATGATTGCATTGGTGTTTCCTGTGTAGGTACTTGTATTGTACTTACTTAAAAAAGAATATAATTAAATATTTATAAACTGCTAGCTTATAGTATACCTACCTAAGGGTAAATACTAAGTTACTAACCATAGTACAAGTTTGCTTAGTTGTGGACTAGATGGCGCTGTATTATTTGTCCAAGTTTAAATATTATGATTCTTAATAAGTTAAAATAAAAAAAAATACTCAATTACGTTTCCAACTCAAATCAAATCAAGTCATATAGGACATTTTAGCCGCTTATGACATCAAGTCTTTTTTATTAGCTCTTTTTTCATTACCGTCCAGTTTAGTATACAGATTCGATTAAGAAGAACTGGCAAAAAACTGAACTGAATTTCTTTTTTTAAAGCCAAATTATTTGCATTCTATACTTATATATATAGCCTATGTTTAACATTAAATGAAAATCCTGTGCATTAATCAACATTGCTATGCACGTTTGTCATTATTTTTGTTACTTATAGAATATTGACCTACGTGTATATCTATGTGATAAAAGTGAATAATACATAAATACATTGTATACTGTATTATCACCATTTCAAGATAAGGATGTTAAAATTACACAATACAGTTGTCATCCATTTCGTTGTATTTTTATTGTTACAGATTTATTACCTATATTTGATATTACAATCTTGTCTGTACGGATTCAGGGGGGTCATGGGGGTCATGACACCTATGACTTAGGTGGACCACTAATTGAACATAATGATTTTTATATACTTTCACCATATATATTTTATGTATATTTAAAGTACAGATCTAAATTTGTAATTTAGAGTAAAGTAAATGGGTCCCGACTCCGCGTCGACTGGTCGCGTTACTAATAAACCATGTAGCACGCTATACTTAATAATGTCTAATAAATAGTACAATCATTTTAGCAGTATATGTACTCACTACTTACATACTACAATAAATAATATATTATATAGCGCCACCTCATCACAACTTATATAGATAACGCTACAGTGATGAAGATACCACCGCGCTACACAGTTTTTGGTTTATTTTTATATAAATGTCTAGTAAGAACTTGAAACTCTCATCACATAACGACTTTATAAATTATTTTTTTATCTCTAAAGTGTCAGGTTCAAAAATCTCTTTGTCTATTCTAACAAAATAGTGCTTTATTAGTATGGTGATAGGGGCCCATTATCCTAATGTGCCCAGGGCCTCTAGTAGGTGAAAGACGGCCCTGTCCCCCTGTACGGTATGGTCATGAGGTCGATTCCCGCAGAATACAAATATTTGAATACAGTACTCTCATCTGGTTTATATTTACTATGTGTGATAAAAATACATATATACGTTATCTTTACATAGTATAAAAACTAAAACGCCGTCACTGTCCGTTCGCTTATATCTTTTCATTTACGCAATGGATTTAAATGAACTTTCAGAAATAGATACAGCGGTTCAAAAGGTAGGCTTATATATAATACATGTGTGTTATAGTATGTAATATTATCTTATATGTGCTTATAGTATAGAACAAGTCAAGAAATTCAAATAATGTAATGCATCCGTGCGAGGCCGGGACATGGCACTGGTGGCACAAAAAAGTTGTAATTGTTACCCTATAAGGGTAACAATTTCTAACATATATAAACATATGTCAAAATAACTTAATTGTACAACTAAGAACCTAAAATTAAAAAGCTTAAAACATATAATATAACAACTAAAGCATATTATTAAAAGGAGACCCTTTAGGCAAAGTTCCGAAGATACCGGCAGCGTTCCCTCTTTGAATGGCTAGACTAATTCTTTGTCCGAGGTTGCTGCCAGCTCTTCGGTCTAATGTCGACTAACCTGTCAAAATATGTCAAACTTATACAAATATCTATTTGTCAAATTAATCATAAATTAAATAAATAAATGTCGCTGTGTACGTGTACAGTGGCGTGGAGTGTTATTCATAATTATGCCATTGAGGTATTTATATAGATAAAACAGAAAAACTAAAATAAAACTATATTACATTTTAATAAATATTTTTATTTAAACACAACTCAGTTGGTCATTATATAGTAAATAGAAAGTAAAATAAGATATATTACAATAAAAAAAGAAAAATTATAATATAAAATAATATCGTCCAATCTCTGAACTACCTCTCAAACGGATGGACCGTTTACAATGCAATGTATTATATTTATCACTTGTTTTCGGGGTTAATCTAATATATATTTGAAGTTTGACATCCATCAATTGAGTTAAGGATAGTCTTAACGGTAAATGTATCTTATTAACTTAAATACTTTATGAGTTTAATAATTTGGAATAAATATAAGGTACGGTTGCCACCTACCGTTAGATGGGCCGTTGGATTATTCGTCCTTCTTCATTATAATTATATACATAAAAAAATACGATTTAGAAAAAATCATTTCACTTGTTTCTTCATCAGGTTTCCAAGTTTGGCGTACTGAAGCGCTCCATCCACCTGCACACGAAGATTATTGTTATAGCACATCTAGCTGAGCCTGCGGTTTCATCCGCGTGATTTTTTTTTTTAATTTTTTTTTTTATTTGTAGCCAGTGTTATTCTGATGTATAAGCTACCACCAAGAATCACATTGTGAACCAAAAGTAACCTGACATTGAGAGTGACGCAGCTGGAATCGAGTCACAATGCGAACTTCAAAGCGTTTGAGTACCGGGTCCCAACATGCTGTCCTGATGAAAGACTACAGGCCGAACCGTGGTAAATTGCCATCGCCAGTTTCGTGTCCATAGAGATAATTTGAATTTATATTTTATAATTATTTCTGATGTATGTTAGTCTATAAGTTATTTATAATATGGGGCATGTAGCCTGGATTAAATAAATAAAGTTTCATCAAAATCCGTCCAGTAGCTTTTCCGTGAAAAAGTAACAAATATTCAACCATCTATTTCCTATACATCCGAACTCAACACTTTCGTGTTTATAATTATAAGATTATAAGATTACTGTATATTACACGACACTAGAAAAATAAATAAAGGATTATCTAAACCCAGTCAGTTTTCGTAGTACGTTAGCAGATATGTTATCTAAAAGATAAGAACAATTAATCGGAACAAGATTATTCTTACTAGATAATTATGTTATGTCTACGATCGAATATAACAAAATAAACAAAAAATAAATAAATAAACTAACTAATCCGCTCGGTTCTTTTTTAAATGAATGATAATGTAATAAGCTGGTGCCACTCCCATTGCTGGCAATGTACCATGACAGGTTGACCTCCACGTAGTTCTCTCTGGAAACCATCGTGATAAATTCCTTCATTGCTACGATGCGCTAACTGACCTGACCTCATGCTCATCTTATCCTCCACTGATGCCTCGCCAGCGTAAACAAGAGGGTGCACCATTCCATTATTATCCATTAAAAGAAATAGCTTTTTATTGAGGAAAGAATTTACCAAATTGGCTGAGCATATTTTCAATTTATCTATCTATTACTATGGTAGACATAGTCACCATTGCCTTGCTTTTATCGTTTTGTTTGTGGTGGGCGCAATATGTCACCCTCTTCCATCGTTCGTCACATCTGAGCATACTTTCCTTTTATATGCTCTTGCGCATAATTAGTAGCTATTTATAATCGGTCATATATTTATTGGGTTTATCCTTTACAGACAACAATAATACAAAATATCTAATCATTATCTCTTTGTAATATTAGTTTACACTATGAATCAATATAAAACAAAGACGATACTTTCGTCTGTCCGATTTTCCGCATGCTTATTTTAAGCCACCGATTTTGATATGGTTTTCTTTACATTTCTTCTAGAAGGGTTATTTGCGTCACAAAGGGAAGGGGATTGTTATTAAAGGGGACTAGAGGTCCATTGCAATGTACCTATTAATGGGTAGACCACCACACGCCCCCCAGGGAAAGCATATTAGTTAATGGTGTCAACATCAACTTCATCCAGTCATTCTTCAATAGAGTATCAGTCTATACCCTTAGTGGGTAAAAGTGTAGCAAAAACACATAGCAAGTAAGATATATCGAATTGTATAGTGGTTATACATCTGTAATGTAGATATATAAGTAAAGACAAAAAATAAGCATAGAATAATAACTCGTATATTAAATAGCGTTAGAAAATAAAAATGTAAAAGAAAAGATATAAAAAGTGGAAATTGTTGTAAAAATTGCCCCGTCAGCGTAAACGGTTAGCGCAGGCGGGAGCACTATACCATAAACATCCATAACAATAGCACCCAGACGGATTCGTACAAATACGTCGCTTATAGTAAATAGTAAAGTAAATATTAGTCATTAAACGATTACTTAAATGACGAGCGCGCATGGCAATAGTTGTTCATGCTCGGAATTTTCATAGACACTTATATAAATAAACATTGTAAATAAACTGGGTTAAAAAATGTAATTCAATTGAGTTTCTTGCCAGTTCTTCTCAATTGGATCTATATACTGACCTGCTGTCCGGTTCAGTATATTGATCCAGTATAGAGAAAAAATTTTAAACCAAAAAACTTGACGTTCATAAGCGGCTAAAATGTAAAAATCCATTTCATTTCCTATACAATGATATTTATTTATGATAATCTGAATTAACACATTATTACATTAGATAACCAGTTTTTCCATTTCATGTAAATATATAATAAACTGGTTTAAAAAAAAAACGAAATTCAATTGAGTTTTTTCTCAGATCTTCTCAATTGAAGCTGTATACTGAACTGGACGGCAGGAAAAACAATATTTGACGTTCATAAGCGGCTAAAATATCGTAAGTATATGAATAAATGTGTTTTTAATTTAGTAAATAGGTAAATAAATACATGCTGCTATGTTCGTTCATACCTGCACGATGACACCCGTCACCAGCCTGCTGTTGTCACTCGCCAAGTGAAGTATCATCTTGGCGACATCTTCTCCCGTACACACCTCGCCCATGGGAATAGCCCCGGCGGCCTCATTCAGAAATTCATTGTACTGCTCATCCGTGAAGTTGGTCACACGCTGCACGATCTTACTGATCTGTGTACAGAATGTTTATAACGACAGTAATAAGTAATTATATTTTGAAATAGGATAAAGTAAAAAATATAGCTGTATAAAACCGTGTCTTTGTGTACAAAGGATATTTTTCGTTTATTCTTTAAAGGAAAGGCAAATGGAACTGTACCCATACAGCCATGACTATCTGTAGTTATATTATATTACTCTGTGGTGATAATCATAGAATGTCATTTCATTGTTATAATAATATAAAATGAATAAAACGTATAAATAAAAAATATACCAGAATTTATTTCACAGAAAGCGATAAATTTTCATATTATAACGCGACTTTTTGATGAAAAAAGGCGCGAAAGACTGGCTGCTATATTTTATAAAACAATAACTGCACATAGACATATTTGTATTTATTTCGTAAATAGGATAAGTTAACACACTGACTAATTTTGCAAATATTAGATAATATATATTTTTTAAATATTTCAATAAAAATTGTAAAACTCACTGTTACACCTGGACTGACGGTGTTGACTCTGACCCCTAGTGGGGCCAACTCTAGAGAGATAACCCGAGTAAAGTGGTCCAGAGCAGCCTGAAAATAATATATTATGATGAAAGAATCCATCCATCGTAAATTCTGAGTGAATTTGTCACGATGGGCTATTTGCCATGGTCTTGCTCATCTTATACTCCACTGGTGACCCACCAGCGTAAGCCGTCGGCGCAGGCGGATGCCACATTCCATTATTATCAATAAAAAAAATATTCTCTGTCCTGAGGAGATAAAAACCATCGCTCCTAAGGAAATCCTTCAGTTCTTATCGAACTGAACTGAATTTGTAGCGAACTTTGAAAAAGGGCGAGCACAATAGATCTATAGCTCGCAGTGTACAGGTCTTAGCATCTCACAATAGCCCAAAACCCCCCAATAATAAAAAAAATACCTTAGCCATGCTATACGGCAAACTCCCAACTGCAACCATAGATCCGGAGATGCTGGACACGTTTACAATGTTTCCTTTAGTCTTGATCAATTCTGGCACCAGAAGCCTGGTCAGGTTGTAAACGCCTCGAACGTCTATAGCAAACACGGTGTCGAACGTTTGCATGTCTGCTGTCTGGAGGGTGCTCCGAGCAGTGACTCCAGCGTTGTTCACGAGCACATCTAACCTAGATATGGGACACAGTCACCTAGATACATCAAAATAATAATTGCATTTAATAATGTCTAGTAAGACAAATTCAATATTGTCTACTAGGCACTGCTGTATCTAAACTGTGTCACCCCACCTTACATTTTCCTACTTTTATTTAGTATATAAGATCATTATTTCTATGTACACATTGTCAGTTTATCATCATCTGTAATATACATCGTCTCGACCAGCAACATCATACAGCATGACTGCAAAATTATACACTTTGACGGTCCCTGTGATCTAGCAGTTTAACATCAGCCTTACTTTCGATGGCCGCGGTTTCGATTCCTACCACGGTACAAACATTCTTGTTAGTATCAGTCTGGGTGTTTTCTATTGAAATATTTTCTATGTTAATAATATCTCGTATTCACTGGAGAAATAGAAATAATCTTTATTCAAATAAACTTAATATTAGTACTTTTGAATAGTCACATTTTTTTATTCTACCACTCATTCGGACCGTAGACAAATCACAAGAAGAACTAGCATGACACTTATGTGTTGCTCTTTTAAATAAATATTGTTTTAAGTACGTTTACATAAACAAGTAGATTTACAACAACAACGAGATTCTATTAGACTATATAATTTTTATGTGGATTATTTGTGTAGAGTTTCAAACTATATAATAGTGTGTATGTCATTGCTATGAGAAAACACAACCATATTCTTATCCCTAAATCTTTATACTGTGTTTTTGAGCATGAAATAATTATTATTATTTTGTATATTATGTATGTATTTTCATATTTATATAAGGTGTAGCTTAGCATAGTATGTAATATTATGTTCTCTGTGCTAGTACCCATAACTCTAGCTCAGCTTAGCTCGGGACTAAATGGTGTTGTGTGAATTTTTCAGTTATAGTTATTATTAAAGTATACTTTTTTTTTTATAACACAGGGGACAAACGAGCATGCGGCTCACCTGATGGTAAGTGATTACCGCCGCCCATGAGCACCCGCAACACCAGGGGAATTGCAAGTACGTTGTCGGCCTTTTAAAAAGGAATAAGCTCTTTTCTTGAAGGTTTCAATATCGTATCGGTTCGGAAATACCATGCTGCAAGGTGATTCCACAATGTGGTTGTGCGAGGCAAAAAGTTTCTAGAAACCCGCACTGTGGAAGACCGCCATTCATCTAGATGATCAGGATGGTATTTATTACGTTAAGTATACCTAAGTATATTATTCGCATAAATTCCTAATCCTAATATTATAAATATCTTTGAAAAAGATAAGATTTTGACGACACATTGAAACAAAAGCTTACCTTCGACACAAACTACCAAAACATGTTAACATCTTTAAAATTTATTATTATACCTACTAGCTGCGTCCGCAGATTCACTCGCGCGAAATTTTTAGTCTGTATGTTATTTTATTATATAAGCTAGAATATGTAAGGACGAGAACAATAGATCTATATACGCAGTGCTATAGACCTAAAGCACCTGATTGTAGCCAAAACCACTCAATAAAAAAAGGTAACATCACTGCAAAGTTCATCAAAATCCGTCGAGTAATTTTTGCGTGAAAGAATAACAAACATAACTACATCTATACGAACCATCAATACTCGCAAACATATTACTAAAAAGTAAGATATTTATATAGACAGGTAATAAGTACCGAAACATTTATACAAATACTAATTAATTCAGTAAATTAACAAAATTTGTTATGTATGTGCCTAATAAGTGACTTTACTGCATTAATACGGTTCCATCGTATCGTTCAATAAGTTATTACTTAGTTGTTGAACAGAATTTTAGTTATGTTTAAACTTATTATTTATATTATTCCGGTTAATAATATAAATAATACGTTTAAACATCTAACTAGCCGTGGTCACGGGCTCACTGGACAGCTCGTGACCCCGTGGTCACGCATCCTAGTCGAAACGTCGCCGCGTCGAGAGAGGTACCTAAATACCTTTATTTGCCATAAAGTTGTTCGTGTTAAGACTCGACTAAAGTGCTTATATTATTATACTATATATTTATATATCAATACTTTAAACGGACACTTATGTGTGTTTTGTTAAATATTTTTTATCTTAATATTTTAATTAGGATTTTTTAAATTTAGCATAGTGTCCTATAAGAATCAAATGTTGACTTTGATTATACTTACTAATTTAACTGTCCATTTCACAATCAAAATGGTATCACGAGACTACAGTAGGTATATGATAATATAAATATTACACTTGACCGACACCTTTCGAGATAATTTCGCCAGATGCCAAATCACTAACTGCATTTTGCCAATAAAACAAAATATTGTTCATGTAAGTATTTAACAGCAAATTTTCTGATATACCTAGATATATTTGATTTGTCATACTTTAAATTTAACAAAACCTATTAGGTTAGTTAGAAACTAGTAAATAATTAATGTATATAATAATGTGAGTAACATAACACAATTATTAACCCGTGGATATCCGTATTGGTTTTATATACATATTTATGTACTTAAATACATACTACATTGTGAAACTGTTTGTATTCCAAATAAAATAGATAAATACCTGCCAAATCGTTCTTTAGTTCTCCTAGCGGTCTCCTCACACCCAGCATCCGTACCGAGGTCAGCCACTATCGCAAGAGCTGGATTGCCCTTCGATTGCTCACATCGTTTAGTGACAGAAAGTAAGTTCTTCTCATTTCGTCCAACGAGAGCCACCGACGCTCCGTACTGAGCGAATAGTAACGCGGCCGCCTCACCTATACCTGCGCTAGCGCCGGTTACTAAAACGACTTTGCCGGAGAAGTCTACGTCCATTGTAATTGTCGATAACAGACTAGTTGCACGAGTGAGACTCTCGCCAGTTTATATAACATTATCATGTAGGTAAATAGAGTTACGTAAACACAAGTACAGATTTCATTGTCACATATACATATATCTATTTTTTTATGATAATGGAATGTTGCACTTGCCTGCGCTAACGGATTTCTCTGGCGGGGCACCAATGGAGGACGATAAGATGAGCATGAGGTTAGGTCAGTTAGCCCATCGTGACAAATTCACCAAAAATTTATCATGATGGTTTCCAGGGGGAACCGCGTGGAGGTCAACCTGACATTGTACATTGCTAGCAATAAGATAATCAATCCCCATTACTAACAATTCCCTTTCCCCTCTATATATACCTATTAGCGATGAAAAAAAATCATTCAGCGCTGCCTGCGGCAATTCATGTAAGGAGCAAACTGTGTAAAGGTATTGTCTCAGATGGCGCAGTAAGAGACATGTTTTTTTATTTCATTGATGACAATGGAATGGTGCACGGGTACGGGTTACACTAGCGGGGGATATGATGACGTCAGGCTCGTTAGCACATTGTGACAAATTCACCAGAAATTTATTATTATGGTTTCAGGGGCACCATGTGAAGGTCTAGTTAACATGGTACAACGGGGAATTTCTGGTCGGTGTATTTTTTTAGTTGGGTATTTTTATAATTAGGTACTAGTAGGCCTAGAACTAGCCCAGGGCCTCACAAATTCACGATCCGCCCCTGTCAGTGATTGATCATTACAATTAGTATCCATAGCAAGCTGTTAAGTGTAGAACCAAATGGCATGAGATTTTATTATGATTTAACATTTAGTGTAAACCACAACAAAATTGGTTAAATCCATAAGGTGACACCCCAGATGTTACGTGCGTCCATAGGATACGGTAACCATCTACCATCAGATTGGCCGTATACTTGATTGTCACCATAGTTGTAGAAAAAAAATTAAAAGTAGAACATTGGGCGTCACAAAAACAAGAATATATATATATATATAACATTAATGACCATGTAATTTTCAATAAGTAAAATTCAATACATTACTTATGATATTATATCACAAACATATAAAACATAATGTTGAATAAAAACAATTGCGTATGTATAAACAATTAAAATTAAACTGTCATGGATGTACATGTACATTATACAAGTATAATTAATGGCACATTAAAACGAAAATTCTATGCACAAATTGCATTTGTGTCACTAATAAATTTGATAATCATTATATTATTATTACAATATGCAGTAATCTACAATTAGGCTAATACATGCATTTTATATAATGATAAAAATTATTATTAAATTACATTGCGCAAACGTAGAGCCATCTGCAGGAAGCGTACATTTAACATATTGCAAATAGTCCGTTTCTCTGAAGTCTATTATAGCATTTAGATTAAATAAATACTCAATTACGCATTAAACTACTGTCTACAAATATAATACAGTTCGTGGGAGCCCTAACAGAAATATTTCTTCTGTTTCAAAGGTTCACTATCATCGCTGTCCGAGAAACATGCTGCAAATCCACTGCGGTCTCTCAGTGATTCTCTACGCAGTGATGTACCATTCCTGTTTGATTTCACTCGCTCCATGTTCCGAGTAGACATTCTATTCTTAGTCTTAGAACCATTCTGTAGCCGAGTTGAGTTACCTGTGATAGCTACATTCATGCTCGCCACAGAACTAGATTGGTCCACTGAGTTACTCACAACTAATACAGAATTTTTATGTTGTCGTAATGTCTGACCTATACTCCTTCCACTTCTAGTTTTAGAAACGACTGTCTCGTCTGGATTTTCCTTTCTCTCTGACCTGTCATTGTGCTGTAAAGGATATTTGTCAGGGTTTCTTCTCTTGTCTAAAGATTGTTTTGTCGAGTTATTCATTTTAATTGATGTAGGCACCGTTGTATTTGTATAAGAAATCCTCTGCCTCTTAGGATACCTTGATGTGCCGCTGTCTAAAGATTGGAATGATGCATCAAGATTGGGGTTATGATCATTGCTGGTATCCACTTTCCCATCAACTACATTTGCTTTGCCACTTCTTGAATCTATAAATTTAAGTAAAGATGTACTTTTATTAACTTTTGGTGTTCTCTTATTGCTCTTAACTGTCACCAAGTTAACAACATTCTGTGATGAGCTTGTACTGCAGTTCAATGCAGACGTGTTGGGTATTCCAGTATTGACAGATTTGTTAACACAAACAATAGTTTTCTTGTCTTTTAAATTCTTACTATGCTCTTTTGTGAGATTCCATTTAGTTTTGCTCCTTAGATTTCTTGGTGCTTTATTTGCGTGCATTTTAGTAGATCTTATATAATTGGCTGTAAATCCGGATACATCACTTAAATCATCAAACTGGTCATTAGGAGTTGGTCTTTTTATTAATTTCTCATTATCGCTTTTGTTGTTTACACTCTGATCACCTTCATCAAGTATCTGCAATGGTTTCTTGGGCTTTGAAGAGTGTTTTTCATCAGAATATGCACCATGATTAATATCATCAGCTAGATTACAATGGAGAACTTCAAATGAGCTGTCTAGGCGGGTTATGTTATTATTGTTTAGACTTCCTTGTCGCCGTAGACTTCTCCTCAAGTTTACATTGGCTTTAGGAGTAGATGTAACAACTTTATTCTTTTTATGCAAGTTAGTTTGACTTTTTTTTTGCATTTTTATTCTTTTCCTTTTATTCTGTACTGGCGAATTTTTAATATTGAAATCTATGTTAGAGGCATGAGCCTCCGATTTATGACTCTTTGCGATTGGTTGATTTCTAATTTGGGAAACATCGAAATATACATTCTGTTTCTCAGTTGATATGGATCCATCGTCCAGTAATGACAATTTTCTTTTATTCTTTTTCGGGGTAAGTACGTCATCTTCAATAGTATGAATACTTATAGGCTTGTTATAAATATTCAAACTATTCTTGTCTGTGTCATATTTCAAGAGGCATGGTGCCCGTTTCGTGTAAATCCAATATGATATCTCATCCATGTTGTTTATAAAGGGTATGTCAGAGTAAAACGCGCCGACAATGGGATTTGTGGAGACGGGCAATCTGTTGGTTGAGTCCAGGTGGATCGGCATCGGGTCCTAAGCAGCCGCGCCACACATCCAAGTGGCGACATCCAGCCACAAGCCGCCCGGGCCTCCAGGTCCGAACTGCCGCCCGACAGCATACAATTATGTACTACTTCACCTGTCAGGCGGGCCATTTTCCATATTCCAGCATTCCATATAGCTGAAACATATCAACATGCTGATTAATAATATGTTTATTCCCGCCGAATGCGGTTAAAGTAAATTTAACTTGAAACTACCTAATTACCTATTTATATTCCTTTGTAACCAGAAAGTACACCACTACAAAGTTAATAATTAAATGTAACGCAGTATCGCAGTTATACATGTATTATTTCACTGAGTAGCATCACCTATACTAATGTATAACAAAAATACCGAATTTACGGACACCGTTACCAAGACCCGCCTTTTACAACAGATATTGTAGATATTTACTATTATTACAATCACCTTTAAGGAACTTTTAAAATATAAACATATTTGAACTCAACATAAGTACAAAATAAATTCTCATATATGAGAAAATAGCTCAAATTTCTCATAAAACAAAAGTAAAGAGAAAAAATATATCAAGATTGACAACAAACGCCGTAGAAATTTAGATAACCATAGACACGAACTACAGATTATTCACGAGAATCTAAGTGTACAGACTACATAGTATGATTACGTCCTACTACTCTATGACCATATAAAACTAAACTCAATGTTTAACAAAAATAGCACGACTAAGATTAAACTAAGAAATAGTAGTTCTATGTATAACAAATCTTAACAATATATATTAATTTTACGACACTTACTTAATTGGCAAATCCATAGAGGTAGTGTACGTATTCTATGGCAAGTCGATAGCATGACAAGACTGCTGTTAATTCGCGCCTTTTTCACTCCTTCTGTCAAATAATAACTCAAGTCAAATATTTCTTGTCAAAAAGTCAAAACAATAAAAAATGTGAATAACATTGTTAACAATTTCTTGATAATACCACGATTGTTCTTTAAAAATTTATAGCTTTTGTCTATCTTGTATATTCAATATATTTAACGTTTATCTCGAAAATAGTTATGATATTAAGATGAATTTCATTCAAAGTGTAATTGATCGTCAGATGGGCATTTGTATGTATTAAATCGTAGAACATGTTATTAAAATGTAATAGTAAATATTATAGTAGCTAATTAATGAAATTAATTGAAAATTACAGATTGTCGCCTGAATTACGATAGTGTTCTGAAACGGTTGGTAGTGGATGGGGAAGAATCATTTTATGGACTACAATACTCCCGATATTCAGCCGGCTTCGATCAGGATCCACCAATATTCGCTTGCCGATTTGCAGAAGCTTCCGGTTACGAACACCTTCTGGCCCTTGCTAACGAAGATGGGGGAGTTGCTATTCAGGTAATAGATACTATATAAATATTTTTGTTTCATTATTAAATCAATTAAGTATTGCATTAATTTTATATCAGATCAGGTATTAATATATCTTTATTTATGTAGGTCTATTACAGACACATCTATCAATTCATATGAGATAATTGGCTAATAATAACAGTAAACCAAACTCAAGTTCAAAATTATTTATTACCATAGGAACTTAGGATAGGAACAAGAGAATCTTGTGCATAATGTATTTTATATCCCCATTCCTACCATTCACAGTAAAGAATTGTGACAATCTCAAGTTCAAAATTATTCATTATCATAAGACCTTTGACTCTCTTGTGCTTGTTATATTTTTTTATCACGAACCCTGTTACACTAAAGAATTATTGTAACTAAAGAATTATTTAAATCAAACAAACACTTCAATTATTGTGTTTATGATGACCTCTGTGGTCTAGCGGTCTAGCACATCACTTTACGTCTGATGGTCGCAGGTTTGATTCCTCGCACAGCACAAACATATTCATGAGTATGATTGTTTGTATTGGTCTGGGTATTTTCTATGTATAATAATGTATCTAGTTATCTATGTATTTGTAAATCTAGTAACCATAAAACATGGTAAGGATCTGATTGTATGAATTGTCCAAAGATTATTATTATTATATAATCAAATAAAGTTCAAGGCTTTCTTTAAATGACAATAGTATAATCACCAACTTGTAATAATTATATACATTACTTATGGTAAGGATTGATGGTATACCCCAAAGATTTTTATATTAAAAATGAAATGACATATATATCAACCATCTGGTTTACCATATATAAGACACATCAGATTGGCTAAACTATTGTTTAAAGTCCCTATAAGTTATTTAAAGATAATAAAGGATGAACTTAAGATTATCATTATAGAGAGCAACAGCATTTCTCTCTATTTCCTCTTTGCTAAAATCGCAAATATTTTTTTTTTTAATTTAAATCACTCTAGTCACCACATTTTTGTGTAGGTTATCATTTTATTGCAGCATTATTTTGCACAATAGATACTCCCTGTACATCTTGTGAAGTCCCATTGTAGGTTTATATTTCATTTTATTACAGTTCTAGTTATTGTTTCATGATTATAATAACTAAGACAGTTGACAAACAAGTACTTACATGTACATACATAAATTTATATGCAAAAAAATGGTATTTCTGTTACTTAACTGTTATAAATCTCTGAAGAAGTGTACCAGTTTTTCAAGAAATTTACTGCTGCATATAAGCAGTGCCTTTAAAGAAATTTATAATGAAAAAATTAAATGCTGTTTTTAACTTTCACATATGTTTGTGTGCCCTTCCAATATTTCTCTATTACATGCATAGATTAAAATAGAAAATTATTTATTCAAATAAACTTAAATTTGAGCACTTTTGAATAGTCATACTTATATTTTGAATCTACCACTCATTCTGAAAGTTGTCTCATCACAAGAACGAGAAAGAAACTTGTATGTTGATTTTAAATAATTTAGGTGTAACTTTACATTTTTTAATTTAAATGTGGGATTACACACTACCAACTAGCACTAATGCATTCTCAAAATAAAGACAACTATCTGGTTGAGTAACTAAATAAGAGTTAGTCAGTGGTAGTGATAAGAGCCGACCACAAGCAGCACTTGTTCACGAGTATGATGGACGAGCCAGCCATCTCTGCATTCAACCATATTTTAGAGACTCCTATACCACACCACCACATGTTTGGATTTCTTTATATAACAGCTTGTAGAGGACATAATCACAGTAATTTACTTTTTATGATATGTTTTATTAATATTTCTGTAAAAAATTTGAATAAGAGTAAATCAGTCATAAACTCGTGAACGAGTGCTGCTTTTAGGGACTGGTCTGCTCTTAACACTATGACCAATTTAGTCTTAGTGTGATGGATGAGCTAGCCATCACTGCAATCAACCATATTTTAGAGTCCAATGGCTTGGCCCACCACACCGCCACATGTTTGTATGTTTTTATATAACATAACATGTAAAGGTCATAATCACAGTAATTAATTTTTTATAATGTCTTATTAATATTGATGTAAAAGATTTGATTCACCAAATTGTCTAGACAGAGAAACTTCTTAGAATTCCATGGTTTCACCATGCACATGAGGAGTCCATCGTGTGGCAGAAACCTTGAGCAGTTAGTATTTCTGACCTGTGTATAGGTTTAATGGGAATTTACCCCTTTGCTGAATTACATCAACAATTACCTTCAATGATCTTATATAAAAATAATTTATTCAAAAGAGCAACACACAAGTTTCTTGCTCATTCTTCTTGTGATGAATCTGCATTCCAAATGAGTGGTAGAATAAAAAATATGACTATTCAAAAGAGCTTGTATTGAGTTTATTTGAATAATTATTATTTCTAATTCTATTTCTTGTTTCTCTCTGCACACCCAAACCTAGTAGGAGCCTGTTATTTATTATTGGAAGAAGACGGAAAACATCTCAAGTTTTCTTTTTATTATGTTGAAGGATACATCAAACGCCAGTGCTGCCAGCGAGTTGGAAAGCTTCCAGTGCCACAACAATGCTGTGTTTGACCTGGCATGGAAGCCAGGCTCTATGAACTTTGTTACAGTGTCAGGTACGTCTTCTTGTTTCGAATGAGTGTCCTGTAACCTGTGTCCAATAACATACTTATAGCACAGATAATATAATATTACATACAGATACCCCATCCCATACAAGAAAATGGTTCCTTCCTAACTCGGGCTATTCTTCGGGCTATTTTATTTCGCCGCCGTAGGCGCTAGATGTCGCTATATCTGAAGCAGTTCGGATTACTAGTGGGTGATTAGTAATAAAGCATGAAAATAGATGGCAGAGAATTCGGTCTACATGACATCTGTTTTGCAAAGATACGTACATAATAGATATATAACTGTATCGAACTCCTGATTGGGTACAATCGAAAATTCAATGTAGGTATAATATTGTTCGCTGACAGTCTACAGACACGGCTAATGTACCTATGTATCTATGTACTTTATAGTTACTTTTTTACATGCCTACTTTTTTTCTCCCGACGAAGATATGTCGTAACGCGTCTGCACTAAAATCGGGCTATCGGTTAAGGAGCAATAGCTCCTTAACGAATAGCCCGATTTTAATACGGTTTTTTTTATTTAAATTGTTATGTGATAGTGATAGATTTTAGCTATAATCAATTGATGTGCATATGGGTACCTCATATAATTTTCAGTGTATAATTATTTCTCAATATGTAGTTAATTATGGTAAACTGGCAATTTGTAAAACTGAAAATAATATCTGCAAACCATCAATCTGTTATATGTAGGTTCTTTCAGGGATACTACATCGGTGCTAATGACATGTAGGTACTTATTTTGATGTTACACCTATTTGTAGAACCTTCGATATCTACAAACTACGCCTTTACTGCTAGTTTTTTGGTATTTATGTAAGTTGTTATTCAGTTGAAATTAAGCTGCGAAATTACAGGATATTTGGGCATAACATCTATGTTCTCCGGAATGATAACGTATGCGGGATATAGCGGGCACGACATGATGACGTAATGCTGTTTAATAATATATGTGTATGTATGTACGTCGGATAGCGTCGTGGTTGGATGGATCGTCAGCTTATTTACCATTTCAGTTCATAATAGTAGGTAGTAACTTTTGACAATATGGATGAAGGAGGGTAACGGTGATGATGATGAGATCAATAATGACTGTTGACGATAGTGACGGTGGTATTTATTTATGACCACCATAAAATTCATCATTGGCAGTATTCTCAACATTATCATCATTGTTCATCATGATGATTGAGATCAAATTAATTAATTGATTAAAAAAGTAGCAAGTATTAGGTAGGTACTAAGTCCTTATATGACTTAAATACAAGGTTCTGGGATGCTGTGATATACTACAGTCTCTAGATTTTGTTTCTTATTAGTATTCCACAACCAAAGTCTATAGACAGAGAAATATAGATTTACACAAAGTTTTTTGATGTAAATGGGAATTATTATACACATTGCATTAAAAAATATATATGATTACCATCTAATACAAAATCATTATGTAGTAAATAATTCCTGACATTTTAAATCAAATGAGGTGAAACTAACATTGCATGAACACAACACTTGAAGATCATAAAATTTTTATTTCAGGTAATAAAACACTTTTAAATAATTTATTAATCACAGAATAAACAATTGTTAATAATTTACAATAATATTTCTTTCACTGCTTGTCTGTTATACCACTAAAACTTCAAACACTTCTGTTATTTTTATATTATATTCCAAATAAATCAATATCAAGACATAATATTTCATCAAAATCATTTCATAATTAATTCCTGGTACACAAAATATTCCTGGATTTGTTGATGAAGCAATATAATAATAATCATGAGCTTAAATCATAAACTTATTTGCAGTCGGTTACACATAATATAATTACTTGGAATTTCTTCTCATCACTAGTCCGTTGCTTTCTTACTTATTTAATTATATTATTAATTGCATTGTGATTAATAATTTACAGATTTTTCTTCTGCTTTTTTCTCTTATTTTTACTTGCATTATTATTTTATACAGTAAAATGTTCATATATATATATATATATATATATATTTCTTATTCTTTTGAACTCCTGTTCTTTACAGTAAAAATGTTATTTATCTTCATCTGAATGACTAGGAGATTTAGAATATCATCTCTTATTTGTTTAAACTTTGTTCAGTATTAAGTTGTTGATGTCAGGAAAATCTGAAAACAATATCATATACCATGTTACATTTTCATGAACTTACATGAATGACTTTACATAAAAGTAACTAAACTGTAACCTTATTAGCACAATAAACATATTATTCATACATCATATTCATTCAGTTCTAATAAAATATAAAAATAATACTACTGTTTAGTACTTTATTTTGATTAATAATTTTCAGTATTTTCTCAATCAATCAAAAATTATAAAATCATTGTTAGTTTTTTGAAGTTACATTCATAACAATAATAAAAACATAATAATACCACATTAAAGCGGTCACCAAGTACCTATGTTTATTATATTTTAATATGAAAGATACACACGCATACATATGCAAGTTTTTAACAACTTATAGTTATACCTGGTATGAGATAATCCTCAAAGACACGATAGTTTACTAAATATTTGTAGTAGTCCTTAGACACATTTAAATTATTGAGTTTGACAAAAAATAAGAAGTTCAATGAACTCTGAACAGGAACAATTCAAAAGTTGAAGTACCTACTTAACTTAAATGATGAAAAAAGAGAAAAAATCCAATGCTAGTGAAAATATGTTTTAAGCATTTGACTTAAAGTCGTTTATCCTATTCTGTTATTCCTATATTTTATATTTTTAACATTTCATTTATGTTGCCAGTACTCGTTGTCATTTCGATATAATAAAAAAATATGGACCAACCTACGATTTTAAATCGATATTTTTATTTGTGATGAAATCTAATAATATAAATTATGAATAACCTACCCTCGAATGGCGATATTAAAAAACTAATTATCATGAATAGTAGGTACTAGGATCAGTAATATATCATAGTATTATGAATGATTATCGTTTCAAAACCTTGTACAATTTAGTAAGGTTGAAAATATCCTTCTACAAAAGCAAAATTCGAGTATTTGTAAAGTTTCTTATGAGTATTTTTAAAAATTCGAGGACACTCATATTTAGCTACCAATGTCAGTAATTTAGATACCATATAACACTTGTTTATTGAGGTTTCATAAAGGTATAGCTGACCTTATATACTCTATACCACATTCAATTCTCATTCATTAAATTACAATAAGTAGGTATTTATTTTTTTAATAGAAGAACTATGTCACTAATGTCATTAATTGCTATAATTACCAGGGTGACCGCGTGGAGGTTGATATAATAGAGTACACTTGTATAAGATCAATCTAATTAATATTTCCCTCTTCAAGTTTCGAAGTTATGAGCGAACAGATAAATATATAGTACTTGCATACCTGTCAAAATCTCTCTATTTTGCCGTCGTCGAGTAAAAATTATGCATTGCAATTCGTTCCAAATAAGAGTATAATACAAAATGATGAAATTTTACTGTTTGCAAAGACTAATTAAAAGCACCATCGAATAATGCGTTGTAATATCTTGTTATCGATTATTCGAAAAAATCGATAAATATATGCATTTATTTTTAATATGGCAACACTTTCTAAATAAGTATTACTGGAATAATATGGTTTTCTTGTTTAGCTTGTAACGTTCCCCCCCTTACCTATAAAACGAACTAAACACCCTCTCTAAATATCAGAGGAATCCCCTAAATATAATAGATCATATAACGCATGGAACACTTAATCTTTAATCATTTGGCCATATAAATAAATTATTGTGATCGTCTAGTATCGGTGGACCCGTTGTGTATATGTAGTAACTATAGATTCTTTTATTGGTATATGATGGAGTAATAACTGCGAGATAAATACATATCTCAATAATACAAATTATGATACAGAGTATATGTTATGAATAATAATTATAAGGTATATATTTGAATCATTGAACCATTATGGTTTTAATAAATAAGGTGGGTTATGCAAGGTAGGGTTGCTATACGCACCATTTGAAAGTGAAATGGGATGAGTATTCTCAGCACCAAAACAAGATTAATTTATATTATTAATTCAACATTACAAGTGGTTTCACCAAGCTTGCGATGCTTAAAGCAGGTAGATAAAATATAGTTGCCATAGGCAGATCGAAACTGAATTCAGGATCACTCACGACACAGAAGCTTACTTATGGATATTGACTCCTTCGGTTCTATGTGGCGATAGAGAGACTGTCAAAGAGACTGCCCGATCTCGAAACTAAATCCCAGCATCACTCGGTCACGTAGCTTACTTAATGGGGAATACCCTTCGGCTATATATAATGTGACATTGGAGATCAGACTGAAGATACAGTACGAGTCGTAACAGAAACTAGGAGGTCAATCAAATACCAGAACTTACTAATGGATAATCCTTTCGGCCCTATAATGTGACATTGGAGATCACCAGTAATTGCAGTACGATAAATAATAATAATAGAGTAGTGTGATAGCTCAATGCCATCAACACCACAATATTGGTCAATCCAATATATAATGTTGATAATTGCTATATTACAAACATAGCATATAAAGTTTATAAATTTACTTAATACCAAGAATACTCAAGGAATTAAGAATTAGATATTTGTGAATAAGAGCTGGGCTCTAATATGATTGATTATATGTAAATTAGAATTACTTGCATGGCGAAGTAATCTTTATATTGATGAGATATTATAAGCGAGAACTATAAGTCCCATATCTGAAAATAGATGTCTGGATGCTCCACATAAAGAATCAACCAGAAGGTAATGTTTAGTTTGTAGAAGGACTGCATGTCCTGATATAGTAATCAGTAGAATTTGATTAATCACATAGTGAAATAATCATAATAATATAAATAATAGTGACAGAGGTCTGTGACCTGGATGATTGTTAGGTATAGACAACCACTAGGTGGATAGTCGATATGATAGAGGACCG